CCAAACAAAGGATAAAGTAAAATCTGCCCAGTAAATGTTAACAAAAAGGTTCATAAAAGAGAGGGGAATAAGTAAGGATTACACCTTCCTCTACTAATTCTATTTATGCTGTTAACACAATCCAAGATCTCAGTTCTTTGTTTCTTTGCACAGATTTTACACTATAATTCTAATGACTTCTCTCACACCATCATTTCAACATACTACATTTCTCTCAACTTCCTATCTTCTGCAAATGCCATCAGCCTTCACCAAGAATAAGAGAATAATAATAATAATTCTTGATGAATAATAATTCATCAAGAATAGAGACCCCCTCCCATGGAGGGGGGAGACATAATGATAGGCCAAGAACAGAAGATTACAACATTTGTCCATCTGAGACATCATTCTGTTTGGATTTCTCTATCTCCCGAGATCCTGATGTGAAACTGAAAAACCTTTGTTAAAATAAAAACTCAGCATTTTTCACAGAATTCTTTTGCTCTAATAAACCTTTTATGTTTCCCTTCTGTGATGCTGAAGTAAAATTTAGGGCTTCATGCATGCTAGCCAAACAGTAAGCTACGTCTGTCTCATTTTAAAAACCAAAAAAAGCAAAGCGTTTACTTAAATCATTGAACTTTTTAGGGCATAAAATTGTCCATCTAAAAGTAAATCAGGGCTGGAGATACAGCTCAGTTGGTAGAGTGCTTGCCCAGCATGCACAAAGCTCTGGGTTCAAATCTCAGCACTACATAAATTAAGCCTGGTATCAGGTTTGTAATCCCAGGAAGTAGAAGAAACAGAAACCCAAGCTCATCCTTAACTACATATTAAGTTATAACCAGCTGGCTATACACAAGACTGTCAGAAATAGTAAAATCATTAGCCTGGTGGTGGCGCACACCTTTAATCCCAGGCAGATCTCTGTGAGTTCCAGGCCAGCCTAGTTTACAAAACTACACCGAGAAACACTGTCTCAAAAAAACAAAACTAAACAAACAAAAGAAATAGTAAAATCAACATGTAAGAGTATATATTTGGGTGTAAAGGTATAACTCAGCAGTAGAAAACCAACCAGACAGTATAAATTTGTGTTGTAATTCATATTTTAAAAAATTTGTCTCACGGACTAGAGAAATGGCTCAGCAGTTAAGAACATGTAGGACTCGTAGGCAGGGCATGCTGGTGTCTACCTTTAATCCTAGCAGAGGCAGGTGGCTCTCTGAGTTTCAGGGCTGGGTCTACATAGTGAGTTCCAGGCCAACCAGGGCTACATCTCATTATGTAGGCCAGGTAGACCTTGCACTTTCCATATTCCTGTTTCAGTTTCTCAAGTACTAGGCCGACAAGCTTTATAAGATATCCCCGAAGCTTTAAACATTTAAGTCTACAGATAGGAATTTCTTTAAAGTCACACTTCTTGTTCACAGGCATACATACATCTGGAAGTAAAGAACAAACCCCACAAGGAAACAGGTTCATCAACCCACATTTAACTGGATACTAAATTTAAGCACATTCTTGCACTTAGTTGTTAAATTCTAAAATATCTCCAATTGTCAAACTTAGCTAGGGTCTTCTTTAAACTTTTTTTGTTAAGAAAGAACATTAAATTTTAGAATTCAGACATCTCAATTTTCCTTGAAAACAAAACTAATTTTAATCAATTTATAAGAGCCTATACCTTTTCATTTAATGGCAAAGACTGTGTGTGTGTGTGTGTGTGTGTGTGTGTGTGTTGGAATAGAGAACAACCAAAACCAAAAGTGTCATCATTTGGGGAGTTAAGGGCAGGATTTAAGGTCATCTTTAGCTAGACAACAAGCCTAAGGTTGGCCTGGAGCTATATAAGACACCAGTTCAAAAAACAAAACACCCCAAAACAAACAACAAAACACTCATAGAGTGGTATGCCTCAGTGGTTAGGAGTGTTTGTTGCAAAATCATGAGGACAGGAGTTTGGATACTAGTGCCCACACAATAAGCCTGGTGTCCCAGAGCATGGCTGCAACTCCAGCTCCAAGAGGCATAAACTGAAGGGTCCCAATGCTTATTGTCTAACCAATTTAGAAAACGTGAACATCAGGTCCAGGAAGAGACTCTACCTCAAAAAGAGTGATAGAAAACACACGAAGTCTGCTTTTGTTTGACCTCTTTGCACACATGTATACACACTTGCAGCATCTCAGAGGGGAAAATTAAAACAAACAAAAAAAAACAGAGCTAATGAGATGGTTCACAGGCTAAAGGCACTTGTGCCAAGAATAAGTTTAATCCCCAGAATCCACAAGAATGGAACTAACATCCACAAATTGCCCACTGACCGTAACCAGACAGGTGGTATGTACAGCCACACACATATACTCAAGTAAAGTTAACTTTAAACAAAGTGCAATCAATCAGAGCTAGGTTACAAAAGAGTGCCGATATTAGGGGACTTACTTCACTGGGTAGACAGGGAGTCTACTTACTATGTTGGATCAAGAAACCTGGATGAACTAGTAACTCTGGGCCTTCTCATCTTTTCTTCTTCTTTAAGACTTATTTATGTACATTGGTGTTTTGCCTGCATGTATGTCTGTGTGAGGTGTCAGGTCTCCTGGAACTAGAGTTAGACAGTTGTGAGTTGCTATGTGGGTGCTGGGAATTGAACCAGGGTCTTCCAGAGGAGCAACCAGTGCTCTTAACACTGAGCCATCTCTCCAGCCCCCTTTTCTTTTTATTTCAGTAAAACAAGATCTCACTGTATAGCCCTGACTAGACTAGCCATCTGCTTCTGCCTCAAGTGCTGAGATTAAAGGTGTGTGTCACCGTGCTGAGCCAATTCTCATCTTTTATAAACATCTTCTTTCTTTTCAAGGTTTAAGAGTTTAAAAGAAAAAGACATACACTATGTGCTTTAATCAACACTGGCAACATACTATTCACCAAGCAGAAGATCAAGTAGTCACTGTGGAGGTGGACTCTGTTAACTATGAAATGTAGGTTTTACAGGTCACTTTGATAGATGATGCCTACTACCATAAATTTCACCTATTTTTTATTTCCCTTTGAGAAAAAAAATCCTTTTAGAAAACAGTATTGCTATTTTGTAGAATAAGGGGTATTTTTGATGGCCTCCATTGCCACCTGGACTTGTTTAGTGTTAAAACACAGCTCATGCCCCCCACCCTACCTGCATGCACAGGATGAGTGGGAAAGAGAAGTTTTCATTCCAGGTATCCTAACTTTCAATAGCCACCCAGACTCCTGACTCCTTGCCATCTAGTGGGACAGCTGGTTACAAAGTTAAATGAGTTGTGTCTCAGATCTGAATTTGAAGCCAGTCTGAGTTCCACACTTGCCAAGGTTACACAGTGAGAGCCCTCTCAGAAAAAATAATCTATTTAGCAAAAGGAAAAAAAAAAATAAAACAACCCAAGTTCTAGTCCCAACTAATGCAAGGAAACACTTTTACCCAGGTCCCTTTTAGGCTGCCTGCCAGCCCCTCCCCCTCCCATTGCTTTTACCTCACTTTCTTCCTAACCCTGGACTATGTTATGCAATTAACTTGAATCTAAGACCTAAAGTAATTGCCCTGCAGACTCAAATTCGAACTCCAAAACTTAGTGTGCTTAAATTAAAAGGGAGTAAACTACTATAGTAATTACTTCCAAGCGGTAATGATAAGCTTAATATTGTCTGTATTTCGAGCAGATGGTAGTTTGATCAGTTTTATGTCCCCACCATAACCTGAAAGAGTCATAATGACTGCTTGCCCAAATGGCAGCAAAGCTCACAGGAGAGATGGCAGTTTGGAGGTGCGGGTTGAAGCAAACTGGAAAAAGCAAGCAGATAGGTAAGTCATTCTCAGTAGTCCCACCCCCGCGCGTGGGAGGGGTACGCAGTCCTAAACTATCACCAACAGGAGATCATTTTTATGGGAGACACAATGGTGGGGCACCAAACCGTTGCCAGATCCAAACCGCTTCGGCATCAACATACTTCCGATACCGAAACTTGGAATGGAGAATTGACAAGTGTAAGAACACTCAAGAACTAAATCTTTACCTATTTAGAAAAACTCTAGGCAAAGGAGCTGCTCCTTTACGAGTAACAGGTATTGACTTTGGTCTCTCCTCTCTCTTTCTGGCCTCAACAGACTGGACTAAACCACGCCCCTCCACCCAAGGCACATTCCATACACCAGCCCTGGAAGACATTAAAGGGGAGCCCACCGAGAGGGAGAACTGAAAACTTCTTGACACCATGCGAGTTTAAGTCTGATCGCTAACGGAACGTAGTCCTTTCATGACGAATGTCACTCGGGAAGAGATGGTTACACACGTATCCGAGACGTGTACGAGGGTGAGGGGGAACGAGAACCACGCGGGATTTGGGTCGTGCGGTTAACTCGCACGTCCCCGGAGGAAGGACATTTGCAGACGAAGGAAAAGGAAAACGGGGTTAACTCGTTCAGAACTCGTAGGTGGGGAGAAGAAGCGGCCCTTATTTTCCGGGCCTTAGTGTCAAAACTCACTTTTGCCCCAAGGGAAAAAGAAAGCATGGGTCCCGCCCAGGCCGGACTAGGAGGCGGGGTCTGCCGTGACCCCGAGGACGGAGGCGGGGCCGGGCGGCGGGGCACCGGGAACCCGCTCGCCAGGACGCCAGGCTGCCCGCAAGCCTCGGGAGGACGCAATCCCGCGTGGCTGTCCCCGGCTCGGCAGCAGGCTCGGGCCGGGCTCCAGGGTGCGGCCTACCGGACCGCCGGCTGCGCGCCCGCGCCAAGCCAGGGCGGAGGTCGGAGCGGCCGCGAACCGACCCGGGCCCTGGGAGGTGGCGGTGGCGGCGGCGCGCACGGGCGCGCCACCCCCACCCCGCGCGCCGCCGAGCACCCCACGCGCAGGGGCGCGCTTGAACCCCGAGAGAAGGCCGCGCGTGGTAGTCAGGAGCACGACTCCAGGCCCGTGGCCCAGCTTCTTCGCCACTCACCCCGGCCAGACCAGCCCGCCCCGGGCCTGGGACTCCGCACTGACCTGACAGGCCGAGACATGTTCGCTGTCGAGGCTCGACCGAGTCCAGGAGCCGAGGACCAGGACCCCCCTCCCCGCGCGCGCTCGGCGCCCCACCCCCCCGCTCCGGCCGGCGGGGCCGCTGCTGCCGAGCCCGGAGCTGCTGGCTTCTTAAGAGTCCGAGGCTGCTTGTTTCGGGCCCTTGGATCTGACGAGCCCCCCGCTCCCCCGTCTCCTCAAAATGGATGAATCAAACCAGCCGAAAATGCGCCAAAGCCGTGGCGCAACCAGACCCGCTAGGCTTTGGGCTCCCCGCCCCAGCACGCCCGCCCTGCCCCAGCACGCCCGCTCATTGGTGGCTTCTGCCAGACGCGCCCTAGTCATTAGTCCGTTTGAATCATCACGCCTCCGAGGCCCCGCCCCGCTCCCTGGTAGGCCCCGCCTCCTCCATGGGGTCCTGTTAGTCAAGATGCGCTGAGAGCGCAGGGCCGCAAAACAAAAATGGTCGCCGATTGCCCGCCCCCTGCCTTCCATACCAGACCTGCAGATTCGGCGAGGGTTATATTGTGAGCCCCTCAAAGAACCTGGCTTATATAGAGTTCAGTGTGGACCAAGTGTTCGTGACGTGGATTTAATTTCTCCTGGGGTGACTTTCTGCACATCAGCTAACTGCATGACTCGTGAGATAGGCAGCAGATTCGTCACTAAGAGACTACTTCAGAATTGGAGGGAAATTTCCTAAATTCAAAAATTTGACCTTAATCTTAGAAATCCTGTGCTCTGTCTGTAGAGTTAACCTCCCAGGGCTCAGCCACGCTGCCGGAATTCAGAGCTATGCTCACAATCAAGGAATATTTCGATCCCATTCTTCTTCATTCTGATCTTTGAGAGCTACTCCATACTCATTAAAACCCCATTTCCTGACGTTACCATTTCAAAGAGAAAGAGCTGGATGATTAAGAGTGGGAGTGGTGACAAAAATACTTGCTTCAGAATTCTAAGGCTTCGTAATTGACTAGGTTCCACTTTCTACACCTCAGTTTTATGATAAGTAGAACTGGGAACAACACTACCTTATTACTAGAATTAAATGATGCTGGGCGTGGTGACTCATCAGCAGTGGGGAGGTGCATTTTAGTGAGTTCGAGGCCAGCCTGGTCTGCAAAGCAAGTTCCAGGACACCCAGAGCTGTTATATTGTTTTGAAAAACAAAACAAACAAAAAACAAACAAACAAAAGAATTAAATGAGGTAGTATACTTGAAGGCATTTAGTCTGGACTTAAGTGCTAGCTTTAGTTTTTATTAGAAGAAGCAATTGGGACTGCTTCAAGACTTTTGAATTATAACCAAGAGCAACTCAGATTATCTGGTTAAAAATACGTGAACATTTACTGAATGCTTGAATCTCTCAGAAGTAGAGCTCAGTATCCCTGTAGGAATAGCTAGGATTCATGTTATAGTTTGGATATCTGTCCTTCATCGGTCTACATACCAAAGTAGTCAGTCTGTGGTAGAGTTTTTATGAGGCAGGATATTAGCACATTAGGAGTGTGGTCTTAAAGACATTGAGACCACGGCTGGGCAACCTGTCTCTTTGTTTTCCTGTGGCCACCATATGATCAGGTTTACTTTGCTGACATGCTTTTCACCACAATGTCCTACCTCAACAGGCCCAAAGCCATAGGACCAAGCAGCCCTCAATGGAAACACCTGAAACCATAGCAAAATAAATGCATCCTTATAAGTTGTATTTCAAGTCTAAACAATAGAAAACTCTTTACCATTATAAATAGGCTACAGTCCTTGCCACAGGTGGAGATGTTGCTCACTTGATAGCGCTTGCCCAGCATACAGAAAGGCCCGAATTCAGCCCACCTAAAACAGGGCAGGATGGCGCACACATGTGAAGCCTTTAGCCAAGGACACAGAGGCAGGAGGAACAAAAGGAGGTAGAAGCTCAGGGTTATCTCTGACTACACAGGGAGTGTGAGGACAGTTTGGGCTAGGACAGCACCACAGTCAACAACAAAACCAAGGGAAGATACAGTCCCCAAGAAACAAACCGCGCCACTATCTGCTTCCTGAAAGTCTCCTTTGTAAAACTTGGAAAAGAACAGCACAGTACAACAGGGAAACATTTTAAAAGTCATCCTTGATCCTTCCCATTCAACATCATTCCATCTTCACTAAAAAAGTCTCCACCATACCGGGGCAGTGGCAGGGGCGCACACCTTTAGTCCCAGCACTAAGGAGACAGAAGCAGGCAGGTCTCTGAGTTCAAGGTCAGCCTGGTCTGCAGAGTGAGTTCTAGGACAGCCAGGACTACACAGAGAAATCCTGTCTTGACATAAATGTGACATAAAATGTAACTGCAACTCCTGGGAATATGATGCCTCCTTCTAGTCTCCCTGGGCACACACACACAAACGCACAAACAAAAATGAAGATAAAATTTAAAAACAGTGAGAGGTGGGATAGGAACTCAATGAAGCCCTGAGTTTATCTCTACCATTTTGTACCTGTACACACTTGAGCACATTCGCACACACACACACACACCACAACAACTAAGCTAAGGCTGGGCAGTGTTAAGATGGCAGGACTGATGAGCCCCCCCATGACCCTGAGAAGAACCCAGCCCATTCCTTAAAGGACTGTGCTGTAATACCTAGGACCTTTTTCTCCTCCTCGTCCTCCTCCTCCTTATTCATCTTCTTTTTAACTAGGCGAAGAATTTTATTAACCTTTTTTCAAACTTGATTCCCAGGCTTCTTCAGCTTAGTTTACTACAAAGAATGAACTGTGTATAAACAACAACCAAAAAGAGCTGCAGTGTCCAAGGTGCTTAGACCTAAAAATATTAGAGATCTAGGTTTTGTCGGATTCATACACAAGAGAATTTCTGAAAGCAGTCATGACATGGAATCGCAGTAACTTCTCCAGGTTTCATCTTTTCCACAAGTTGCCTCAATTCAGTTTGCCCCATTCATAGAAGCCTCATCTAAATTCTCTACATGACCTGCAACTTCCTCCTCCTCCTCCTCTCCAATGGCAACTGACACTTTGCCATTCCCCAGTTGTTTGGGCAGAGCTTCTGCCTTCCTCCTTAAACCAGTCAGGCTGTCTGCACCAAGCTGATATAGGACACTGGGAAGCATTTCTGCCAGCTGCTGTGTCTCAGCATGGCCTTTAATGGTGGAAGTGTTTTTGGCCTGAATTTTAGGGTGTTAAAACGGATCACTGTTCCTCTTCCATACGAGATATCGTTTATACCTAACTTCTGTAAAGAGAACTGAAGTTTGCCATCACCTGCTGTGGCTGTGCTATGAACCACTTCTTTCTGTGAATAGTTCCTTTTCCGCCAATACGCACTTGTGCCCAGTTTGGTGAGTTTTTCCTGGGTCGTGATAGTTTCTTTCATTTTGTTGGATCAGACTGTGAGAGGGATCAGGGTTCGTGCTCAGGGTGTCTCTGGCAGACCAGCTGAGATTAGGTGAACGCACATGGGGTTCAGAAGGCAGCCAGAGGGAGGTGGGGAGTCCTCAGGGCAACCTTATAGTGCCTACTCTGAGCAGGGCATGTCTCTCCCTGTTCTCCTTCTAGCTCTAGGTCTATTTCTTCTTTTCCTCAGCTGAGACTAGGTCTGTTATTTAGCCCAGATTGGGCTAAACCTCCTGATCCTCCTTCTTCCACCTCCTGAGTGCTGGGATCCCAGGCATGTGCCACTTGTCTGGTTGTTCTTAAATGGTTCTATCTCCAAGAACTGGGTTTGGTGGCACACATCTGTGATCCCAGCCTGGGAAGTGGAGGCAGAAAGGTGAGAGTTCAAGTTCAAGGACACTTACCTAGTTTGCAGCTAGCCTGGGCTACATACTGTCTCATTAAAACACCCAAATAACTATTTTGTTGTATTTTATGTGTATGGGCATTCTGCCTGCATATGTGTGTGTGTGTATACCATGTGTGTACCTGGTACCTGGGGAGGCCAGAATAAAATACCGGACCCTCAGGTACTGGAGCTACTGATAGTTATGAGCTGTCATGCGAATGCTGAGAATCAAACATGGGTCCTTTGAAAGAAAAGCCAGAGCTCTTAACACTGAACCATTTTTCCAGCAACCCCCCAGCTTAAATAAAAAAAAATTACTGTCAGCCTGATGACTCTGTCACTCTAGATGACTCCATGGGATAGAGGGGCTCTGTACCTTGGGCTAACCCTGTACAGCCTGAGGCTAAGATAGGATACAGCTATAAGTCTCCATCTTTTCAAGTGCTTCCTCCTTCCTTTCTGTCTTCCTCTGAGCCTCCTCCTCCCCCTGCTGCTCCTGAAACAGGGTCTCAGGTAGCCCAGGTCAACCTTGAACTTGCTATGTAGCTGAGGATTACTTTGAACACTTTGCCCTCCTGCCTCCGATTTCTGAGAGCTGAGATAAGTGTGTGTTATCATGCCTGATTTGCACACTGCTGATGATTGAACCCAGAACTTTGTTCATGATAGGAACATTCTGCCAACTGAGCCACATAGCCAGTGTGCTGTTGTTTGTTTGTTCCTTCATTTTATTCCAGACTTCCACCTTCTTCCTTGCTTTGAAGAATGTTAAGAGCTAAGCTTAGGGGACTATCTGCTGCTAAAACAAGGATGATGCACAACTTGACAATTGCTGTGATGAAACACCATGACTAAAAGTAACTGGGAAAGGAAAGGGTTTATTTGGTTTGTGTTTCCAAGTCACTGTTCATCATTGAATGAATCCAGGACAGGAGCTCAAACAGCGCAGGAACCTGGAGACAGGAGCTGATGCAGAGGCCATGGAGGGGTGCTGCTTACTGGCTTGCTCCCTATGATTCGCTCAACCTACTTTCTTATCTCACCCATCACCACCAGCCCAGGGGTGGCACCACCTACAATGGACTGTGTCCTCCTGTAGACTGATTTTTCTTTGGCCTGTCAACTCACACACACAAAAAAAAAGACACGAAGACTAATTAATTGTGAAAGTTCAGCCTATAGCTTAGGCTTGTCCTACTAGCTCTTTTAACTTAAATTAACCCATTTATGTTAATCTATGTTTGCCTTGGGCTTTTTACTTCTCTTCCATCTTGTGCTTCCTATTTCTTCTCCATGTTCTATAGAATCTCTCCTAGATTTGTCTTCTCCTCTTCTCTGTCTGTCTGTAAGTCCCACCTAGCTTCTTCCTGCCTAGCTATTGACCATTCAGCTCTTTATTAAAACAATCAGAATGTGCCTTGGCAAAGACACATCTTCACAGTGTACAAAAAGATTT